AACATGCTAATTAAACAGCCAGTCAATATCTCAATGTCAGCATCTGCGAATAAGACCATGAAATGTGACACGTGACAGCCTGGTGGGCCTCTGGCTGCCTTGCACGTCTCCACAGTTACTGCTGGGCCTGTTTAGCCTCAGCACACTCATGCTGGTGGGAAATCTTTACTGTAGTCGCCAAATGATCATTCTGCCAATATTTCATTAGTGCTTCATTTTTTAATTAATCTGTTATTCTTGCAACAAATCTGTTTGTTTACTCAAAGTCAGTTTTGGTCCCTGTAAAAAGCAACAGCTGGATGTGCTGCATGCACGACAGACCGACGTGTCTGCTGCACTTTCATTGGAGAATGGACAAAATCCTGAGATGTGTGTGGAGCAGAGAGGGAGCTGTGATCTTCCCTAAATAAATCTTTGAAGTTGACACGTTTTTCCATCATTTTGTTTTTTCCACTCTTTCCCTGAAACTCTTGTTTAGCTTCTGCTAGTGTCGATTAAACTCATCAGAGTGAATACCTGCCGAGGACAATGTTGGAGCAAGATGGGATATGTTGTTAATGAATGTTTTTCATAGACTGAATAAATATTTACTTGTTGCTGATGTTAGGAGACGGGTCAGAGGTCACATCTGTGCTGCCTCCCACTGTAGATCGCTACTGGTGTGTTAGCTATGATGCTACATGCTACAAATACTTCTTTTTCTTTTTACTTTTCTATGAAGAAACTGCATCAAGTAGAATAAAGGAGAGCAGGTGTGTCTGATGTGTTGTTTTTCCCGTGGGCTCCTGCTCGGGGTAGGAGGAGTTAAACGACTGTTCTGTGCTGGCACTGAGCACCAGCGTGACCTGGTTTAGTCAGAAGTTCCTCTTGCTTCTGAAGAAGGTGAGTGTTTGCCTGCCAGTGTGATAGTTCCTGGTCTGTTAGTGCAGTCGAGCCAAACTGACTTTAATGTAGAGAAGACAAAAACAAACATGACAGACATCCAGCAGCTCCTGGTCATATAGTAATAAAAGATCAATTCAACTGAAGACGAGAGAAAATGTAAACGTCATCCTTGCAGAGGTGAGAAGTAAAGTACAAATACAGCTACTGCACAAAAGCAGTTTGTTTACAGCAGAAGATTATAAATTGTTATTTATTTCCATGTACAAAAAGGCACTGAGCCGTGCACATTCAATCTCAAATGAAAACATGAACAAGTTTCTTTTTTTAACTGTCAATTAAGAATATTAGGTTCAAAATAAGAGCAGTGTCTACATTTTCATGTACAAACTGGAATATTTCCAGTATGAACTGAAAATGAAATGAGGATTTAGCTTTTCCTTTAAGCTCTGAACTAATATTTAGTTGTATAACCCTTATTTCTGATCACTGCTTTACATCTGTGTAGCATGCAGTCCACTGACGCCTGCGAACAGAAACTGCAGGCTGACTGGACTACGCTCCACAGATCTTCTGCAGTCTTTGGTTTTGCATCAAAAACAGAATTTTTTAGGTCAATCCACAAATTCTCTATCAAATTTTATCCGGGCATTGCACAGGCCACTTCATGACATCAGTGTTTTTGGTCTGTAACCAGGATGTTGTGCGCTTGCTGATGTGTTTGGGGTCCTTGTTGTGCTGAAACACCCATTTTAAGGGCATTTTTTCCCTCAGCGTAAGGCAATATGACCTCCCAGTATTTTTAGGCACTGAAACTGGTCCCTGGTGCCCGTTATGCGATGAATGGCCCCACTCCAAAGTATGAGAAACATCCCCAAACCACTGTGCTTGCACCTCCATGTTTTACAACCTTCACAGTGTACTGTGGCTTGTGTTCAGGCTTGTGGTTGGGGGTCGTCTCACGAACTGTCGGCGGCCTTCACACCCAATGAGAACAAGCTTGCTTGTCTGTCCACAGAATATTTCACCACTTCTCTTTAGTCGGGTCAATGTGCTCTTTCCAGCAGTGGTCCTTTATGAGCGTTTCTGGCTTCACAAAGCCGTCTTCTGCTTGTTGAAGTCGATCTTTGATGGCTCTGGAGCTGATCACTGGATTCTTCTTTGCCGTTCCTGTTATTCTATGATCAGGTGGATGCCATCGTTCCTTTTTCTACCACGTTTTTCGGCGTCCCCCCATTTCAAAGCGTTTGAGATCTTGTTAGCTGAGCAGCCTATTATCTTCTGCACTTCCTTGTATGTTTTCCCTTCTCCAATCAACTTTTTGATCGAAGTTCTTTCTCCCTCTGAGCAGCGTCTGGAACGACCCATTTTACTCCGTCAGCAGGGCTAAAACCAGCAGGTACAACATCTACACCCATTTCCCCTTCACCGAATGAGTCAGTTACCCCCAATTAGCCGCACGCATGTCTGTTAAGTCTGTTGGTTGGCCATTACTCTGCTACACCTTGGCATGAACTTGTTCCCATGTTGTATCATCCTTTCTGCTAAAATCAGGACTTAAACACATTATTAATGTTATTATTTCACACATAAATGTACTTTGTTGCTATAAATTAAGTAGAATTTTCTTACTTGGGTAGTTTTATATTTCTTAAATCTTTTTATTTTACTCCCCAGATTTTTAAGCAAATATCTGTAATATCTGTACTTTCTACTCACGTTTTCCAAACAGACTCGTTTTGGCACAACATCGGAACGATATAGAAGGCATTTTCTTATTTAATCATTCATTAATTGCAATTTGTTCAAATTTAACTTTAAATGTTTGTTTATTATTATTTAGGTTATTTTTTATTTTGTTTTGTACCGTTGGAGAAGCCGAAGTACCCGGAGAGAAGCCGTGCAGACGCAGGAAGAACATGAAAGGCTTAAGCTACGAAGCAACAGTGCTGACCATTGTGTCATTATTCCAACCAAGGATAACCAAGCACCGTTTTTATAGCTGTGATGAACTGATGTAACTCTACTGTTTATATATATAAAGTATATAAATGACCCCCTGCTGAATTTGTGAGTCTGCTCACTCGTGAATGAACAGCCTCTGAGTGACACAATATGAACCACACATCCAGAAAAACACAGTACAAGAAAGTATTGATTTTCATGTCATAGTGTTAAATGTGGTTTTGATCTTCAAATAAACATAAATGAATACAAACTTCTTAGTTGGTCAGCAGGCTTGCTCTCAGGAGAGCTTCTGGCCCACTCCTCTTCACAGACTCTCAGTCCTGTAGGTTTCCTGGCTGCCACTTGACTGACCTTCATGTGCTCGGTGGTCATGCTGGACTCAAGATTCTTTATTTGTCACGTGCATGGTTACACGGATATAACATGCAGTGAAATGTGACCTGATACGCTGCTCGACTGTGCAAAACAAGAGAGACGCAGCTTCAGTGTTGTGGCTGAGGCAAGGAGGTTGGAGTTCACATCAATCCTCCATCTAATCAACAGTGCGAGAGCTACACGCTTTGCACATTCAGAGGAAAATGTCAAACACATTTAATCTCTGTAATATTCTGGATATTTATAATTGAGCTATTAGCATGTATTTGAGTTTCTGTTATATTTTAACTTTGTAATATATTTGACTCTTTCATTTATTCCAGTCTGTTACTGTTCTTGTTGCCTTGGAGCAACTGCAACCACATAATTTCCTTAGGGAATAATAAAGTTTATGATCCTCATCCAAGGTTTCACGATAAATAGCTCCACCCGCTGGTCTCTC